ATAACTGAAGTCAATGTTTCAACAAATAAGTGTAACAGGAGTTTAGAGACTATTAGAGAAGAGTGAAATGACATATAAGAATTATCCAGAATGAACCACAGAGACAAATAAATGGAACACAAGGGATAAACTGAAATGACCAAATATGTTAAAGTATACATTTGAGTGGAGGATCAGGAGAGGAGATGGCAGAGAGTAGGGCAGAAACAGTAACTGATAAGGGCTGAGAACTTTCCAAACAGAAAAGACATGAGACCCCACTTTCAAGAAACATTACAAACTCAAAAAGAAAACAAATTATATTAAAAAAAAGAGACAAAAACATTTAGTTACATCATAATAAAACTGCTTCAATTTTAAGATGGACATCTTATAAACAGCCAAAGGAAAAAACAGATAGATTACTGGATAGCTAACAGGAAACTATAAAACAGAATCAAAGAAATGCTTGAACTGATAACAACCAAAAACATAATAACTGAAGTCAATGTTTCAGTTTAGGGGCAAAAATAAAACCAACATTATTTCTCAAAAAAATTTTTTTGGAAGCCAAAAGCAATGGAATATATCTTCGAAATGATACAACAGCTGCTAATTCAGCAAAAATGTTATTTGAAAATGAGGTGAAACAAATAGTTTCAGGATACAAAAATTGAATTTGTCCCCAGCACCCATGTACAAAGGAAGTACTAAAGCCTGTTCTTCAGGAAGAAGAAATAAGATGCCAGACAGAAGCTTAGAAACTCAAGGAGTCATAAAGTACAATGTAAATATTCAAGTAAATATGAATATATATTAATCATATAATGTCTTAAGTAATTTAGGAAATATATATTAAGTAAACACAATGTATATAACATGCAGTGGGGCAATAAATTATGTGTTCTTGGGTCCTTATGTTGTCCAGGAAGACGTGTAATATAAATTACTAAATAATACATAACTGTCAAGCTTATGGGGTGGAAGAAATGGAATAATAAAAAATAATCTAAAAGAAGGCAAAAAAAGGAGAAACTCAACAAAAGAAAGATGGGACAAAAGCAAATAATATGACACATTTAATTCCATGTATATTAGTAATTGTGTTACATATAAGTCAACTAAACCCTTTAATTACAAAAATATGATCAAATTAAACAATAAATTTGTGCATATAACTCAAGTAAAAATGTAAAAACACTTAGAATAAAATATAAATTATGGTTGCTTTCAATTTTACTCTTTCCTACCTGCAAACTTACTCTTGTAGTCACTATGCTCCAACCAGGCAGGACTTTTGGCTCCTAAGATATTCTAAGATGGTTCATGCCTCTGGGTTTTGCATTTTTGTCCCTTCTGCAAGGATTTGTTTCTCCAATTTCTGCAAAGCTGGATTCTCAAGTAGCAGTTTAAGTGACACTCTTTTAGAGGTTTTCCTTAGTCACCTATTCTAAAATATTCATCTACTTTAACTCCCTACCTAGCACTATCTTATATTCTGTTTCTTTATTTATGGTCTGTTATCACTAAAATGTAGCAGGGACCATGTCTGCTCTATTTACCAGTTTCCCGAAGTCTAGAACAGTGACTGGGACATAGTAGATTCTCAATAAATACTTAAAGAATAAATAAAGCTAGTTTAGGTTTTAAACCTTTCTTAGTTTTATTGCTCTTGGTGGTGGCTGTTTAAAGCATCAAAGTGTCACTCACTGTCGTGTGAGACTCTCTGCGGCCCCATGAACCTGTCAGACTCCTCTGTCCATGGAATTCTCCAGGCAAGACTACTGGAGTGGGTTGCCATTTCCTTCTCCAGGGGATCTTGCTGACCCAGGAATCAAAACTCAGTCTTCTGCATTACAGGTGGATTCTTCACCGTCTCAGCCACCAGGGAAGCCCCCGGCTGTTTAAAGACTTTCCTGATCCCAAAAGGCATCAGATGATATCAAGATCCCATTTATGTATATTAGTGACCCCTGAAAGTATGCACTATGTAAAGTGTAAAATTTGCAGCAGTTTTTCCACCAGTAAGTCAGATATGTAGTATAGTCTTAGATATAACTATAATAACAAGTAAATAAAGAAAAGGTTCAAAGGAAGGCTACTGAACTATTAAAAAGTTGCAATACACTTCTGAAGAACATGTTTGTTTGTATGTTTTTCTCACATTAGAAAGGTGAGAGTATTATAGGTGGATGTTACAAAACATAATTTTTTTATGGAGGGGGGAGAAGCCCCTTTCATCTACTCCCAAGTAAAAAAATTGAATTAAAAAAAAATTACCCTCTTACAGAAGGATTGTTTTAGAGTGGTAATTCCAGTTATGATGGTTTATTTATTTTGGTTACTTCCTTTTTTACTCTTTTATACTCAGCTCTTCACATCAAAGCAATCACACTGGTCACATTTTCCATTAGAAAGATAAGCTTAATGGCTTTTAAAAAAATAGCTAGATAATATACCACTAAATGTATATGACAGAATTTGACCAATCTCTAATTTTTAAAGATTGTTCCAATTTTTTTTTTAAATCATGATTAGTATTCCTACAACTAACATTTTTGTCCATAAATCATTTCAAGGGCAGTTTAACTGAAGTGATTTTGGTCTACAACATTCATTTAAATGGTACTTCTCAAGGGGAAGAGGGTGGGCAACACAAAAAGCTCCCAGGCATTTATCTCTAATTAGGAAAACAGTATACATTGCGGGGAGGTGTGGGGATTACAAAGGCACTGAGAGCGTAAGCATAAATCATTATATTTATTAAAGAAAAAGCAGCGGAAATTTCTTAGAGGAGCTAACCTGGAAAACATTTTGCAAAGAATACAGAGCTGGACTTTGAAAAAGTGATAGGTCTTAATGTTTGAAAATGTTCCAGACAGGTGGAGGTGTTGAAGGAGGCGATAACTATCTGTTGGTGTTCTTAATTACTGGAGAACAGTTCTTACTCAGGACAACTCATCACAAAGCCTGAATAGTGAGCAACATGGGTTTTTTTTTTTTTTTTAATCAAAGATTGGACTCCTAACTTCCTTGCCAAAAACAACCAAATTTCTCCTTAATCTTCATCATTCTTATCTTTTTTCCTCTTTCATCATTCTTCCCTTTTTTGTTCCTGTCAAAGACTCATCTATTTTAAGTAATGGAAATAGGTAAATTCCTCTTCTTCAAGGCTTGCAACATTACACAACATTACAACTGTTGCATTAAAACATGTGTGCATTTTAATCTTATAAAAACACTGCTTGTTACAGATTTTTCACACTAAGGGAATTAGGAACATTCAAGGATATTAAATAAGTTATTTATCAACTTGCCCTACAACAAATAAGGAACACAGTCACATGATCTATTAAAAATGATTAGCAGATAATGAATAATGACTGTGATTTTCTTTCGTGGTTTTATTCTGGCAGCAATAAATTCCACCCTAATAATTTCAGTCTTATTGCCACATAGGAGGTGATGTTTTGTGAACCTCAACGAGGCTGCCAGGTCTAGCACAGTAAGACTCACGGTGTCAGAAAAGAGAGTAAGACTTCATGGGATGTGTTGTCAGTGATAGACTTATAGTTACTTCCCTTCTCCACCTTTTCTTCCCTAGGGATAGCAGCTGCTTTCCACAGACACCCCAGCCGACAGACTCCAATTCCTCTTTCCCACAGGTACCATCTGCAGATGCCCAGGGGTGTGTCTGTTTACAACCTTGTCCCAACGAGCAGAAGCGGAACCCTTCGAGAAGTTCTGGATTCGTCCTCAATAGGACCTGTTTCACAAATTATTTCCCAGCCCCTCTCCACCTGTTTCCAATGTTAGTACTTACGATTTTTGTATCTTCTCCGTCACACTATGCATTCCCCAATAAACAGAATTTAAAGTGAAAACTAATATAAAGCAACTGCTCTGTGTTTCTTTTAGATGGCTCTGAACTCTGATGATTCCCAGGATCTTTTGACCATGTTTAGGTTGGATATCATGCTCTTCAGGGACTTTGGTAAGGAAGTTGAGACTTAACGTCTCTAACCACCCTTGCCAGCCCAACTATAACTTCTGAAGCCTCCTAGATTCCTGTCCCAATTCCAGCTTTTCCGACAAAACTACACCCTAAGGCAAAAAGACATCCCACAGATGAAACTGCAGAAACAGTCAGGACTTAAGCAAGGACCCCTAAGTGGTGAGATAAATTTCTCGGTTAAAAGTACTCTGTCTGTCACTAATACTATGTATAACCAAACAAAAAGAGAGAGTTGACAGGTACACTTAACAACACAACATTTGGAAGGTATATGGAAGTTGTCTTGGGGGAGGGCAATATTACAAGGAATACGAAAGTTTGACTTTTCTTCCCATCTGATGATAGATATGTTTTAATCTAAAAGGAAACCGTCCGTATTTGAATGTATTAAATAGGAAGAATTCTCTTGCCAGTTTCTCTGCTCTTGGTAGATGCAGTTCTGACTTCAGCTGGTATCTGAACAGTGCAGAAAAGTCTCACGACCAAATTCCACTGCCCTGAGGAAGGCTAGAAATGGAGGACCCGCAAAACAGAGAGCAGAGACGACGCAGGGACGGGTCTGTAAGGATTCGGAGTCTCCCAGAAGGGACGGCCAGAAAATGAGAAGGTAGAAAGAGAAAGAAAGGGCGTGGCTGAGCTAAGGTACTTTCCACGTCGTCTCCGCAAGAGCGCGGCTTAACCACGGTTTTCTCCCGCGCGAAATCCGCTGGGTCTGGAGTCGACTCTCTCCGTGTCCACGAACCTGTATCTCCATCACCTAGTAGGGCCCACACCACCCAATCTACCTCCGGATCCTCGCAGGCGCCGCACCAACGCGCCGCGCGCCCACCTACCTGCGCTGCGCCTGCGCCTGCCCCCCGCGCGCTCTCAAGGTCAGCACCGCCCCCGGCCTCTAACCTAGCACCCACGGAAGTGGCAATAGAGGACGTCCTGCGTCGCCTCACCTCTGCGTGGCGTGGGGTCGCCGGCGTTCGGCAGAGGGGAGGGACTTCCTGTCCCGCCGAGCAGAACTTCCGGCCGAGCCGGAAGATCCTCTCCCTCGCGGTGTCGAGTGGCTCCCGGCTGCGGGGTTGGGAGGGGAGGTCCGGGACGACCCCGGTGTACTCCTGGGCGTCGGGCCCACGACCTTTCCTTGGCGCCATGGTGAGTCCTCCTATGAGGGTTGGAGTGTGGGGGGAAGACGGGGCCAGGAGGTCAGTCCTGTGCAGGGAAGCCGGCTGGGTGGCCAGCTGAGGATGGAGCGGGCGGGGGCAATGAGATGAGCGGTAGGGCAAGACCTTACCACCTGCCCCGGGGCGCTGGGGCCCCCGAGGAAGCGAGGTCTGTCCAGCCCAGCTGCTGGATATGTCCAGGAGTTCGAAATAGGTGGTCGGAATATTCATGGCCCGTTCATTGTGGACGGCCGTGGGGCCAGGTGGTCCCAGAGTTGACCTTGCCTGGTTGCTCACCTTCTCCCTTCTCTCAGCTGTAGAGCAGTGGCCAAGAGCTTCAGATCTCAGAAATGCCCCTGGCCTTTCCCAGTACCTCCCCTTCTTATAAAGGATCAACACGTGTCACCGAAAGAAACTGCCAAGTCAATTTATCTTTCAGACTTGGCCCTTGGGAAATTGGAAAAGGTCTCAAAGATAAAAGTCTGGACTGAATAAGGAGGGTCTTGATTCGAAAGGAATGTTTCAGGGGCGTGCGCGAGGGAACTGTTGGAGAAGGGGGAGTACCCCGATGGTAAGATCTGTAAGAGCCTCAAATATTAGGCAAAAGGAGTTTTCTTTTATGAGGAAGAGAAAGCAAGGCTAAAAAAGAACTGAGTGTGGGAAAGTGAGATGAAAGGGCAGTATGATTGGACTGTAGATCAGAGAAACTTTTACCCCCTAGACCAGACTTCTGAGGAAAAACTGTTGGAGGTGTATCCTGTTTCAGAGTGAGGGTGGGCCAAAGTTCAGGAACCTGGGGGAAGAGATCTTAGAATTTGGGTAATGTATTGCTCCAGTTGCTCTATGGGGACAAGCAGTTCAGCTAGTCATTTTTGAAGCAAAGAATGGTAATTTGCAGGCACTACGTCTGGCCTTGTTACAGGGCTTCCCAGGTGGCTCAGTGGTAGAAGAATCTGCTTGCCAGTGCAGGGAATGCAGGTTGGATCCCTGGGTCAGGAAGATCCCCTGGAGGAGGAAATGGCAACCCACTCCAGTATTGCCTGGAAAATAACATGGATGGAGGAGCCCTGTGAGCTCCAGTCCATGGAACCACAAAGAGTCAAGTGCTCCGAAGCACACAGGCAGCCAGTTCCCTGCATCTTGCTTCACTAAGTCTTATGGAGACTGTTGGTTCTTTGCAGTAAGCTGTTTCCAGAAAGGTGGCGGTGGAAGGATTTTTTAACCTTTGCTGTTTTCCAGTATCACAGGGGTCTGGTTCAAAATTGTCAAGTTACTTCAAATCCTGTCAGTGTCCTCTGGAGGACATTCTGCCTTGGAATTTGGAATTTGCCGTATTTTTTCGGGATCAGATGTTGACATTGTTCAGTTGTGTATGATGATTCACTTTTGAATGACTTTTAGAAATGTAACGGACTGTGAAACAAAGGAACTTCAAAATAATGTGGTTCCTAATCCTCTCTTATCAGCTAACCTTTTGACTCTTGAGGCAGTAGTGAGTGTGTATTCTTTAAACCTCAGTGAATAGTACAATTTGTAATTAAGAGTTTTTTCTTTTTTCTTCCTGTTGTACAATGAAATTAGACAAAGATAAGGAACAGAAGGACTAGAATGAACCAAAAATAATGACTAGTCTAACCACCTTCCTCTCTCCCCCCAACCCCCAGTTTTACAGAGGGAAAAATCTGAGGTTTAGAAAGAGGCAGATAAATTTAGGTAAATCACCTAAAGTAGCAATTTACCTAAAGTAACAAGAGTTTAGCAGTTTTTCATTTTTTAACGTATCAAGTAGGTAACACTTAGAATCTTTGTCAATATGTTTGGTCAAGTATTTTACTACTGTCTTAAATACAACCACAGAACAGAAAGCAGAGCCTTTTTTATTTTACATCTTGATTTTTTGTTTTAATCAATATAAACTCATGATCCAGATCAAAAATACTGAGTGTTGACTTGTAATTTTTTTTATGTTGTGAAAATGAATTGTTGTTCAGTCGCCTCGTCATGTCCAACTCTTTGTGACCCCGTGGACTGCAGCACACCAGGCCTCTCTATCCCTCACCATCTCTCAAAGTTTGCCCAAGTTCATGTTGATTGCATCGGTGATGCCATCCAGCCGTCTCATCCTCTGATGCCCTCTTCTCCTGCCCTAAATCTTTCTCAGTTTTAGGGCCTTTTTCAGTGAGTCAGCTGTTCACATCAAATGACCAAAACACTGGAGTTTCAACTTCGGTATCAGTCCTTCCAATGAATATTCTGTGTTGATCTCTCTTAAGATTGACTGGTTTGATCTTGCTGTCCAAGGGACTCTCAGGAGTCTTTTCCAGCACCATAGTTTGAAGGCATCAGTTCTTCAGTGCTCCACTTTCTTTACAGTCCAGCTCTCACAACCGTACATGACCATTAGGAAGACCATAACCTTGGCTCTATGGACCTTTGTTGGCAGAGTAATGCCTCTGCTTTTTAACACAGTCTAGGCATGTAGGCCTGTTACAGCTTTCTTGCCAAGAAGCAAACGTCTTCCGATTGCGTGGCTGCAGTTAGCACCTGCAGTGATTTTAGAGCCCAAGAAGAGTGAACCTGTCACTAGTAGGTGTGTAGTGTAGTAGTAAGTAGTGTTAGTCTCTCAGCCGTGTCCCTCTTTGTGACCCCATGGACTATAGCCTGCCAGGGTTCTCTGTCTAAGGGATTCTCCAGACAAGAATACTGGAGTGGATTGCCATTCCCTTCTCTAGAGGATCTTCTTGGCCCAGGGATCGAACCCGGGTCTACTGCATTCAGGGCAGATTCTTTATCATCTGAGCTACAGAGAAGTCCTGTAATCTGTCATTGCTTCCACCTTTTCCCCTTCTATTTGTCATGAAGTAATGGCGCCAGATGCCATGATCTTAGTTTTTTTAATATTTAGTTTTAAGCTGGCTCTTTCACTCTCCTTCACCCTCATCAAGAGGCTCTATAGTTACTGTTCACTTTCTGCCGTTAGGGCGGTATCATCCACACGTCTGAGGTTGTTGATGTTTCTCCCGCCTGTCTTAATTCTGGCTTGTAACCCATTTCTCATGACGTGCTCAGCATATAGATTAAACAAGCAGGGTGACAGCAGACAGCCCTGTTGTACTCCTTTCTCTATCTTGAAGCAGTCAGTTGTTCTATACAGCGTTCTGACTGTTGCTTCTTCATCCACATACAGGTTTCTTAGGAGACAGGTAAGATGGTCTGGTATTCCCATCTCTTTAACAGCTTTCCACAGTTTTTTATGATCCACACAGTCAAAGGCTTTGGCATGGTCGGTAGAACAGAGGTATATGTTTTTCTGAAATTCCCTAGCTTTCTCTGTGATCCAGTGAATGTTGGAATTTCATCTCTGGTTCCTCTTCCTTTTCTAAACCCAGCTTGGGTATCTGAAAGTTCTTGGTTCGCATAATGATGAAGAGTCCATAGAAAATTTACTGAAGGAATGAAGCTATGTTTTTATTATACTGTTTGAATATTATAGACCAACTTTAATCAAATAGACTTTTACACCATTTAGGTTGATTTGTGGGTGAAAGGTAGATCAAACGCCTAGAATTGTAGGAATCTCATGGCTTATGTTGTCTCTGTAGCATCCTGTAGTAACTTTACTGCTGGGATTGTGCTCAGTATGTTGGTTGTTTAAAAAAAAAAAGTTGTGAATCTCTGTCTTAATTGGAGTTATTGAGAGAGGTTTCTTTTTGGGAAATGGGGAAGGCTGTTGGGAAGAGATAATATGGTAAAAGTTAGAAATACATGACTAACACAGGGGATAGAAATTCTGATGGGGTGATGGAGACACATAATAGGTGGCTTCAACTGAGTTTTGAAAAGTTAAATTAGGACACTCAGTTCAGTTCAGTCGCTCAGTCATGTCCGACTCTTTGCGACCCCGTGAACTACAGCACGCCAGCCCCCCCGTCCATCACTAACTCCCGGAGTTTACCCAAACCCTTGTCCATTGAGTCAGTGATGCCATCCAACCATCTCATCCTCTGTCATCCCCTTCTCCTCCTGCCCTCAATCTTTCCCAGCATCGGGGTCTTTTCAGATGAGTCAGCTCTTTGCATCAGGTGACCAAAGTATTGGGAGTTTCAGCTTCAGTATCAGTCCTTCCAATGAACACCCAGGACTGATCTTTAGGATGGACTGGTTGGATCTCCTTGCAGTCCAAGGGACTCTCAAGAGTCTTCTCCAACACCACATTTCAAAAGCATCAATTCTTCCACGCTCAGCTTTCTTTATAGAACAACTCTCACATCCATACATGACCATTGGAAAAACCATAGCCTTGACTGGATGGACCTTTGTTGACAAAGTAATGTCTCTGCTTTTTAATATGCTGTCTAGGTTGGTCATAACTTTCCTTCCAAGGAGTAAGGACACTAATTCTTAATAATTAGGACACTAATTCTCAATTTAAGTTCACATAGGATCCACCTGTGATGCTTGATAAAAATGATTATCTGGGCTGGCTTATTGAGGGAGTGGAGTCTCATAATTTAATTTTTAATGAGTTTTACAATTAAGTCTGAAACTTGTGGTCCTGAAAGCACTTTGAAGGAACTGTAATGCAGCCATTAGAAACTTTGATAGGGATATTGAGGTTTTTGTGCTGAGTGATAGTCATACATGTGGTTTGTTGATGTGTTGCATTACTTTAATGGATTTTGGATTGTTGACCTAGCCTCAGATACTATTCCTCAAAAGTGGAATAAATTCCACTTTGTTGCTGTGTATAATTCTTCTCATACATTGTTGAATTTGATTTGTTGGTATTTTGTTTAGGATTTTTGCATCTGTGTTCATGAGAGATATTGGTCTGTAGTTTTTTGTTTGTTTTTCCTTATAATGCCTTTGCTTGGTTTTGGCATTGGGGCAATCCTCATAGAATGAGTTAGAAAGTGTTCTTTGTTTCTGTCCTCTGATGAAGGAGATTGTAGAGACTTGGTATAATTTTTTCCTTAAATGTCTGATAGAAGC